TGTCATTTCAATAATTTGATAACTACAAATTATTATTATTACTTAGTGTAATCTACAGGACAAAACCAGGCACAAACGAGGACAAGTGTGAACACACCCTTAATCAACTATATCAAATCAAATTGAATCAGTCTTTATTGTCATATTGCTGTACATACAACTATATGAAAGGGTGTGTGCTATGATTCTGTTATAGTTACCACGCACACCAAATGCAACGCTACATTTCAATATAAACCTTTATTTGCAGAACATATGCAAGAAGCCATACATCATCAGCTTCACATTACAATGCAAACATAAGAGCACAGAATCTCTTTAAAGTAAAAGCAAAATCCTCATTAAACCAAATATAAATTTAAAAAAAATAACAACCAATACCAAAAATATTTACACGTGCACTGCAAGAAATAATCTTAAATAAAACTGTTAAATAAAACTCAAGAAATAATCAAGTCGTGTGTGCAAATATTTTCAGGTGAGGACAAGTAAAGGAGTGAAAAGCTGTATAAAACAATACTTGCAGACATATTTATAGATTTATAGTTGAATAATCCGGGGTATACTCTGAACATCTTTGATATAGTGGTCTTAAATGTGTATTTGAGTGACTTTGTTCAGTGTAACTTCAATATGAGAATTACTGTAAAAGTGTCTGCAGACAGAACTTCACCCATGATTAGTTGCCATTGTAATAATACAGTGTAATCATTATTTTGTTATATTAAGACAGTATTTCTCACCCATCAATCATATTACAGAGAAAATATCAGTTCTTTGAATCACTTTGAAAGTATAAGTAGCTTAACATAACTTCCCAGTATTTTTTAAGTAAACTGTAACGTTGATGTGCCACTAGTAGTAGCTTTCCAACAGTCTAACAGGTCCAAGTATTAGGCCATTGTATACTATTGGAGCATCCTTCATCTGTATATGTAAAACCACTGATGCTCAGTATCCTCACACACTAAAAGAGGTAAACTGACCATCTGTGGTTTTGTAGGGCAATATACAACAGAACCATTACAGACACATACAGTCTCAAAAATAAATATTATTTTTACTTAAACCCTTATTTAGTCAATTATGCAAAAAATCCACATGATTTGCTTATTTACATAAAGCAGGATGTGACTTTAGCACACTGTATCTAATCTTTGTAAGAAAGAAACATGAGCGTTTCACAAATTGGCAAAAACTATTAGCTTTCACAGAAAATTGTTGATTATGCTCTGTCCCTACTGAATCTGTCAGGTATCATCTGCCTTAATGCATAATTTTAGTGATTTATATTGTGATAATTAGGCTTCATTATAGTGTCAAAATGTGAAAAGAAATTACACCTAATAGTCATTCACATCTCTGATACAGTCTTACTTTACCACTGTGGACGGCATACCAAACTCAAGAGTATGTTTATAGCAGCCTCCACCATATTTGTGTTAAAAATACCATACAACACTGGACAGATTGGATAGTTGGCTTCACCCTCAGATTTTGTTAAAAGATCTCTTCAGCCCATTCACTGATGCCTATGTGAAACGTTTTCTTCATTCAAACACCAATATCACCTTACTCCATCTTGGACCGCTCCATCTTGGTCTTAAGGATTTCCTAAAACACAAGTTTGATTATATTAAGGTTATGAGTAAGATTAAATCATGTCAGGTAAAGTGGTGTGTGTTCTAGGGTGGTTCTTACTGTTAAATTGTATTTATTTATAATCATGTTGATTCTAAAAGCATAACACAACTAAAAGTGCATCATGACCAGCTGGTAAAACCCTTACCTCTTCCTCATCTAGTATTACTGGGAGTGCTCTGTGAAAAGAAAAGCCAAATGCAGATTAGTAAAGTGTTAAACACATTATATTGTGGCCATACCAGCTTGTCAAAGCCTGATCTCGTCAGATCTCAGATGCTAAGCAAGGCCGGGCCTGGTCAGTACTTTGATGGGCGACAACTAAGAAAATCAGGTGCTACAGTGGGGCACCTGTGGCAAAAACTGCTGTCGTGCCCTTAGGCAAGGCACTTCATCCACGATGCCTAGTATGAAAGTGGTGTGAGAGTGATGGTAATGGTCTGAGGGGCCGATGGTGCAGATTGGCAGTCTTTCTACTGTCGGTCTGCTCCAAGGCAGCTGTGACTACAACAGAAGCTTACCACCACCGAGTGTGGAGTGAATGAATAAAGCTATGTAAAGCGTCTTTGAGTGTCCAGAAAAATGCTATATAAAATTATGCATTATTATTATTATTTGTTACGCGTGGGCACATTGATTTGGATCATTAGTTGTTTTTGTTCCCTTTTGTAGCAAGTTGTAACTAGTCCTTTTTGCGTAATTTTTGTTTATGGTTTATTTTTGTGTGGCTGTGCGGAGCCTATAAATACGGCTCTTTGCTCGTGGCGCGCTCTCTCTCTGCTCCTCCGCTCCATGCACCTTGCTCCACCCAGCCCCGCCCACCTTGCACGCACCCTGACGGTGACCTCGCCCCTGTCAGCCAGGTGCAGCGTGGGCTGGCATGTAGCCTTCGTTAGCCATTAGCCTGTTGTTTTGACCTGGTGGGACGGCTGTCCTGTTTTCGCTTTTCTTTTGGGTTCAGGTTTGTTTCGTTTTTTTCTTGTCTTTAGTTACAGTGCTGGCACCGGCTTCTACGGTCCTGTACGGGGTTGGCCCGGTGTCGCACCTTTTTGTTCTGTTTGGCTAGCTCGCCAGGTCCACCTTTCTGTTCATTACTTTTCATTATTTTTGGGGAGCACGGGAGGGTTTTTAAATTTCTTTAAAACCATTTAAAAAAATTAAGAACCAGCTATAAATAAAATAAATTAAAGAGCTATATTTTGACTCCTGTGTCCTTTTTAAATATGTTCGGACTCACCTTTTGGGGTGTAACATTTATGGGGGCTCGTCAAAAACTTAAAATCCTTAGACGTAGCTATTTTGTGCCCTTGGTTACTTTTTTGTAGGCTACTTGTTGTACCTGTTTGTGAAGTAGGCTAGTTTTGGGCAGCTAAGACCTTTTCGACATAGTAGACTGTTGTAGGTGGGTAGTTTTATTTGTGAGCGTGCCTTTGGTTTGGTTAGGCTGCGGGATTCTGGGGAAACATGGAGTTTCACGTGGATGAGTTTGTTAAAGCACCCACTGTCGAGGTCTTTCACAGGTGTACAAAGGACCAGTTGCTTCTACTAGCCGAGGATTACATGGGTGCCATCACAAAACAGGCTAAAAAGGCCGTGATTAAAGCAGAGCTGTTGGCTGCATTTGTTGAGGTTGGCGTTTTCTCCTCTACAGTTGTGCCCAAAAGTCCACGTTTATCCTCATCTGGTGGGACAGAGGAGACTGTACGTTTGAAGGAGCTTGAGGTTGAGTTGGCACGTCTCGCTTTAAGGGAAAAGGAACTGCATTTTGAGCAAAAGCAATTGGAGAAGCAAATGGAGATTTGTTTATGTGAGTTGGAGCTTGGGATTGTTTCGCATGAGGCAGGATCTACGGATTTTGACATGAGTAAAATTATCCGTTTAGTGCCTCCGTTTAATGAACATGATGTAGACAAATATTTCACTATTTTTGAGAGAGTGGCCGTGATGCTAAAATGGCCAAGAGACGTGTGGACATTATTGTTACAATGCAAGCTTGGGTGGGGGTGTGCAGCGTGAGTGCAGGAGCAAGAGAGCGCGCCACTGATAGGCTGCCTATTTATAGGTGGACCAGCCACGCCACAAAACATACATAAATATAAAAATCCACGCAATGGGATGCGCAAAGGGGCGCCAGTACGTAACATTATTATATAAACACATTATGTGGCAACCTCTTCATATGTTCTAGGAAATAATTAGCCAGGCTGGCGCCATCTAGTGCCTCCAACAACTAGGTCAGGAATAGGAATACACGGTTCGTAAAACCCCTGGAAGTGCAAGTCCGGCACCAGCCAATCAGAGAAGAGCCATACATTCTGTGTTGGCAACGATTCCCAAGATCGAGATTTTAAAGCTAGAATAAAGAGAATGTTTGAATTTTATCAAGGGGAAAGACGTTATTGCCCTTCTTCCTACGGGATTTGGGAAAAGCTTAATATACAAGTTAGCCCCGTTAGCGGCGCATTATATATGTCACGACCAAATAGCAACAATTAGTTAAAAGAAAAAAGTACCCGCCTACCGTCGAGGGAACAAATTCTAACACTGCAAGGTCAGACAGTTTCTACGTGTAAGTGAAACCGGCTGATGAATCAGGCTAGGAAATAATTACATTAAATACCATCTCATTAAAATGATTAATATTAATATATTATCTAACATATTTCAGACATAATTTAGGATACTTACACATCTGCAACAGTCGTGGGAATGTTTTCCTCCACCCATTTAAGGTCTTCATCCTGTCAACAGATCATAAATGTTGAGGTAATTATCACATTTACAAAGACACAGTGAAAAGGGCAAAGCTAACCTCTTTACTCAGTAGTTTTTGGGAGCCATTAGAATCAGGCTTAGAGCCTCTCATCTTCATTCCCTCTGAAATATAATCAGCAGAAAACAGATCACACACACAGACTATGTTGAATAAGTGTTTAACAGGGCAAAACATAACTATGTCATTAATTTTTCATGGAGCATCTGTTCTCCTTTTGTAACGGTATGATGTAATTTTGTCCTTGGCAGTGCTGGGTTACACAGCATCTGATAGGGTTGTCTTAGGACATATTAAACAAAGCAGTTTGGATCAAGATCATTTGAGGCAGCAGAGTACAAAACAAAAGTATTTTTTCCAATCATCAATAATCATTCTGGTGTCAATGGATTTGGGAAGATTTTTGTCTTATAGTGCAGCCATTTAAACTCCAAAAAGCCCATCATTAGAGAACATGACAGTTCCGATACTATGGCTTTAAGTACCTGCCAATATATCTATATACACATAACAGATCCAAATCTGTTATTTATCCCTCTAGTAACTACAGAACAACTTTGTAATATAAAAAAATAAATAAAAATAAATAAAAGGCAAACTGTCTTACCAAAAGCTTCATTTAACATCGGCTCCTTGGCTTCTTCCTCTTCATCCTCTTCATCAATGAGAGGAGAATGAGAGAACCTACGACCAGTTATCAATTTATCATTTTTCAAGTTAACTACACACATTACATGAATAACGAATCCAAAAGTTGGCCTTTCAATATAATAGGCCTACTTTACTCCATATAATTACTTTATTGATATTTATAATTATGTATCATTGAATATATTAATTAATTATTAATATGTATCGTATGTACATTTTCTTTGAAATTGCTGATTATTTTTTGACTATACAATAAGATCAAAGCCGTAAAACGTTGAATTAATAACTTCTATGACTCATAACAGATGCAAACTAAGTACTAAAATGTCTCATTCTGCTGTTTATTTATTGTAGCTCTTTTTTTTTATATTGTAGATTTAGAATGATTTTTGTGGTTTAAATCTGTCCTTGAGTTATTGTGTCAATGGCTTAAATTTGTTTTGTTAGTCAGTCAGTATTGTCATTCATTGTTTTTACTTTTTTTTGTTATTGTGACAGGCCAATCCAAAAGACTACCATAAAGAGAGACTGACCTCTGACTGTTCGCAGAGGGCCTGAGCAGCACCATAATGACCAGTAAAATAGTGGAGAAGAGAAGGCGCCAGAAAGCATCATCTACCCACAGGTCCCTCCAACCCTGAGGAGACAAACAACACTATCAAAACAACATGACATGAATACAGCAAACTGAAGAGGAAAGGGAACTGACCGTCTGACAGTCGACCAGCTTGAAGACTTTGGTGGTCCAGATGATGAAGATAATGGAGGCTGTGGGCACAAGAGGAAACATGTGTCACTGTTTTGTCTGAGCACAATACTCAATGTAAATAAATTGTCTGGTATTGTCTAGCAAGCATCTGGGTACAACATCAAGTTTTTAGATTGAATAGACATGTCCTATAGCACAAATAAGCTGAGTTTACATCATAAAATACTAGAATATTGATACTTTGCAGCTGACATAATTAATATTCTCTGTCTAAAGTTATTCAAGTTCAATTTTAATCCAAGCTTCGTTTTAACACAATCCGACCATAAAGAACTGACTTATCTGAAACTCCTACAGGTGAGCTAACTTGTGCTGTTAAACAAATCCCTCTAAATTAACCTGACAGTCACAAATTAGCTAGCAATGGCCAACACTTTTTCTCTTTGATTTTCAGAGAAATAAAAAAAAAATGGTACAAACTGAATGACTTCCCTGTTAGCGCAAATAATATTTCACTTTAGCTTGAAAAGGTGGTGGTATTATTCAACCACAAAGATGTCATAATTGTTGGCTGAAAAGATGAATTTCTTAATTTTCCTGCCAATCCCCAACAAATAATAAGATTCAAAAGGTTGTGGATCATAACTAGGTCACAATAATTACTATAATCGAATTAGCATTTAATATATGAAAGCTGGAATAATATATTTCAAGGCTTAATATTTATCATGCTTATGATTTATTTTCAATAGTGGGAAGATTTTGGTATTTTTAAGATTTGAGCTGTAGAGCTGTAGTTGAATAACTTACTTCTATGGTTAATTATTGTTTAATTCTGTTATGTATTTGCTGCAGCTCATCCCCTCTGAATGATACTGTCTATTTAAAAATGGTTTATGTGATTATCTTGCATTATTGTTATTGTGTTAGTGTCTTAATACTTTCAATATTGTTTATCACAGTATATCTCTGTTGCTATATACCACACTTCAAAATTTGTCACTGTGATAGACCTCATCATAACTTTTGATTATATAATAAATCTTTCAAACATAGACATTCTTCCAGACCTACATAGGATAATATACTGTCTTCCATCTGAAATTAGGACAATTTGAAAACACCTAAAGCTTATACTGGAGTGAGCACTTATTGAGCAGTTATTATGTATTTTCTATGGAGTATGTCTGGCTAAGTTTCCATTGTCCAATTAGTTAAAGATCTTTGTTACTCACCAACCACAGAAAAGATAAGAGTGTTTGTGAAATGTTGGTACAATGAAAGCTTCACCACATTCCTGCGAAGCTTGAGTAGACGAGTGGTTTGAGACAGGCTGATGAAAATGTGCTTGCAAATGAAGGAAAATAGGAATACATTTATAAATCAAACACACAGTTATAAATTGTCTGTACTAAACTTAAAGGCTCATATTTCGCCATTTTCTGATCTCTGTTATGTTGTTTCCTCATTACAAACATACCTGGAGTTTTTTGTTTCATTCACACATGTTTAACACATAACAACTGCATATTAAGGCTGAGTTCTTCTCTCAAACTGAAAACACTCTGATCCACCTTGTGATGTCATGTGATAGTACAGGAAGTGCTCCACTGTGTTTTTAAGCTCCATATATCTTAACTAGAACCATTTTGATAATTTGTGGCTCTCACCTAAATAAAAGGTAAAAAGGAGCTGTTAACCTGAAAATTAACCACTACATGAGATCACAAAGTGGAGAAGAGCATTTTGAGCTCTGGAGAAAACAGACTGTAAACAGACTAATATTAAAGGGTTACTTAAACATGTTTGTTTAAGGAGAGAACAACATTATAACAGCTCACAAGAGTCAAGTTGTGTAATATAGGACCATTAAACAGGATAGGGAGTTTACTAGCCCCTCCAGTGTCTTCTCATTTTGCAAAGTAAAGGATATCCACCACATGACACAGGAGTCGATGAGGGAGAGGCTAAGATTAGCGACCAGGGCAACTGTCCCATAGAAACTCTGCACAAAAAAAACCCCAAAAACAAAGCAGTAACATAAGAGATTGTAAGAATTTAACATGAGTAATATAAGATTGTACTTTCCCAGAAAAAGTTAATTTTTTTCATTGTTTTGAGCTAGAGGTTGACAAACCAACCACATCTGCAAACATCTACTCTTGTACTGTTTTTCAATGTGGGCAGAGAAAGCAACATTCAGATGATAGCTGCCATTTAAGATTTTTGTCACTTCATGCTTGTCAGAGTTTGTAGATTGAATTTCAGTTTCAGTAAACTCTTCCCCAGCTGAAATCTAACCACAATGTAACCACATGGAGTCAAACAAAACCCCTCCATAACCACAAGACTATGGTTTAGCAGTATCACTTACCATTTTAAACTGAAGAATGAGCTATGTTTGTATTATAAAATGTAATAGTTACTCACCCCTGTAACTCTGAGCACACCCTCCACAGAAGAGAACAGCAGGTACAGAAGGCCCACAGCCACCAGGCGATGAACTGTGGTGCCCAGCCTTGGTCTGAAGCAAAAAGGAATTTTTTGTAACTTATTTTGAAGTTTAAAGTTTCACTTGACTATGCTTTGAAGAGCATTTCTAGTTTAAATAATACGTAAAAGTTATGTAGCTTAATGTTAGTAGGGATGAAACAATAACCAAAATATTGTGATATCTATCGTCAAAATGAATTTTTTTTTATTTTCAGTTAATTTGATGGAAACATGTACATTTGATATTGACAATCTCATGTTTATGTAGGTATATTGTTGAAAGTGTGATTGGTAGTCACCGTCTTATTTCTATGGATATGTCATTACTCTGCTTCAAATGTTCCACAATATGACATTAAACAGATCTACTTTGCCTTTATGCAATTGCAGGTAGTTTTATTGGTCAAAAATACCTAGCAAAACAGGCATTCAGACTGTAAATGGAATTGCCTCTGCACAGATCTGAACAGTAACTCGGCCTGGTTTGGTCTCCATGATGATAGAAAGGTTTAATGCAATACTATGAAACATTTCATATAAAGCAATAATATCTCAAATGCAATAATGGAGAAAAGCAGATGGCGGACCCTCCAACAGAAAAGTTACGCAATGCACCTTTAACTTTATCTGATACATTTTCATCATATAAATATAAGGAAAATAAAAATAGTAATTAAATCATACAATGATTTCAAACGCTTACTTGACAATGCCATAGCCAAGGCTGACAATGAGCACCAGAATCCGAGCAAGTGATCTTTTCAAAGCAGAGAGCAGTTCAGCAAAAATCACTGCATCTTGAACTAAGCAGACACGAAACAGAAAAGACAAGCACTGCTGTTAAGAAGAAGCTTGTAATTATGACAACAATTTCACCCAACCTGTTCACCTACAAGCTCTAATTGTTGTTGCCGAATTTAACTGACCTCCATTAGCTATCAGCTATGCTTCCTAGAGACCTATGTTACATGTTTTTTGGCTTGGGTTCTAGTGTTCTAGAAGTTCTAGTTCTAGTGCGTGTGTTTGTGAAATGTGAAACTGCACTGTTGTAAGAATGTGTTTAAAAATTGTGCTTTTAAATTGTTTTGAACTGTTTACTATAGAAAAACTCAACCAGTTACAGGAGTTGAGAATTAGCACTAGCTATACACTCTATACGTGTCACGTCAGCTGCATGTTCTGCCTATGACTATGTATGACTGCATTGTCCCTGTCAAATAAATAAAAATAAACAATTGTGTCAAACTGTCTCACCATAGTCTCCTTTGTATCGGATGCTCTGGTACTCAGAGTAAAACACCGCCTTCTCCAACATTCCCAGGATAATGACGGCACCGATCCAGAACTGAATCCTGAGCAGATCCCTCCAGTAACAGGCGCACCACACCAGCCACAATGCCCCAAACAGCACGTAAACAATGCACATAACCATGAAGAACTACAGAGAAAGGGACAATATTTATAATGATATATGAATATAATACAATAAATATAATACATACGCAATATTATATTATAGTATATATTATATTACATTACATTACATGTTGGTTTTAATAGTACAGAAAAAATCTGTATCAGTAATAACCATTTTCTCCAATATGGTGGCAGTTAAAAAATTCTGACCCCATTTTTATGCAACATAATGTAATGCAAATTAGAAAGGTTGTCATCAAAAGCCAAATGCTATTCAGAACAAACTAACTATAGTGTACGCACCATCATCAGAGGCCAGTCTGCAGGGGACGAATAGTCATGAGGACCCTTCATCTCCACTTTCACTATTAAAAAGGCACAAATAAGTATGTTCATATTTGACATTAGAAAACAATAACATATTATACTATTATTTATGGTTTTACTTGTGAAAGGAAATGTCTGCGGTGTCGTTACAAAATCGTCATCATAAATACCACGAGGTATAGGTTGAACCTTCACAATGAACAGATAGGGGCTGTCCTCCCAAGCTTTGGCCACTGCACTGATGTCCTATCAATAGTTCATACACTTTTTGATATACACAAATGTCAACAACACAGAGTGAATAAATATATAATAAATACAATAAAGACTTACAGGCTTGTCTGGGAAATTAAAACTCTGATTTGAAGGAGGACTCTGTGCACAAGAATATATTGTTAAAATCAACTAGCTGTCTAAAAAACTAAATTAACAGGTGACCACTTACATTTGGATCAGTAAGGGGCTGGTATGGGAAGAATTCCGTATAATATCCCTGTAAAATCGGATACTCATTCATTCATTATGGCCCATGTATACATCAAATAATATTCAGTTGTAGAATACTTAAATGTGGTTTAGGTATGTGTAGCCATGCGTACAAATATTCTGTTATGAAACAAACCTTTGGTAAGAAAAGGGAGGTGCAGTTTTCAAAGTACATGTAGCCTTGACTGTAGAAGCCGCTCCAGCCATCTTTTAACATATGGTCCATCCCAAACATGTTCATGGCTTTTTGGTCCTGCAGGAAATCATCAAAGATAAACGTTCTCATTCAATCTATGCAATGAATCACTGGTTTATGAAAGAGAGGCTCTTGGCCAGAGCAGCTGAGATAAAATCAGAATAACACTGAGGAGTGGATGAATAATGGACGAAAAACTCAAGATCTAAACTCACAGGAGTGTTGAACACCTCATTGTAGCAGACAGATGAGCGCAGGTACCAGCTGATGTTGAGAGCCATGTTCTTGTCACATGATGCAATGTCGCCTCGGACTGAACAAATACAAACCAAACACACATTTTTATGCTTTGCATTAATACACATGCAAAGTATTTGCATAATTGACCCCTATTAAAAATCATTAAAAGTTAAACCACTTCTTGTGCAAAGTTAATATGAAACACATTCATTTTAATCATCAAAACAGTGAAATTGTCAAATGTGTTACGAAAATGAGTTGCCTTCCTCTGAACAAACAACAAAACTGCAGCACTGTAACAAAATAATTTAGTAAAATATACCAAAAAATACTCTTAGTGAGATAGCAGCCCAAGATATCGATACTGTATCATCATATTACAATATGTTTGATCAATATTTCAATATTTTCGCACACCCCTACCACTAAATAACAACTGCACCATGTATTTCTGGATCTGAGGACATTGAAGAAAAGACACTTACATTTCATGTAGATGGTGGTATTGGCATACAGTGTCTTGCGAAACACAACATCTTGGCCCTAAAACATAAAATATTGTATGTTTATCGAGTCCTTACACTCATTCATTATGTAACATTTTAACAGATTACAAGTATGAGACATATTAGTTGTTTCTTCAGATGTGCTTCAACTTCAGAAAATGTGTCTATTTCCAAACATGTTGCTGTAAGAAGAAAAATCTATTTATGTAATTATTACTTTATGTTTTTATTTTTTGGGGTTTAGTTTCTTTCTCTTTCTATATGGTTACATGCACACTCAAAACCAGATTATTATCAAATTTACAACTATTAAAAATGTAGGACTATTAAAATGACAAACAGCAAAATCAATTTATTTTTGACCATGATTCCTCCAATCAAATTTAGCAGTTTGCATGCCATTACTCATGTCATTTATTCAAGGTCCAGAAATCAGATTATATTATATATAATCAGACTTTGGTGTGCATGTAACCACAGCCACTAGCATACATATACAAGCACTCAAACATTACTACAACAGTACAACCTTCATCCATTTATGTCTATCTCTCCAATCTCTTTCTTCCTCCTAGCTAACATCTCTTTGCTTTATACTTTAAAAAGGTAATTGTAAATATTGTATGCATCCCCTGTCACTTGGTGTTTAAAAGAGGAAGAAAAACAGGCTGAACTGAATATAAAATAAAACTAGAAAAGCACTCAGAGAGCGCAGACCTCCGCCAAGGACTACCCCATTTTTTATATAAATTGCGATAAAATCAGTCTTCTGGATCAGATCCGGATCAGCCTTTGAAATATGAAAGAGGATCCCATTGTCCATCCCTGAGTCAAATTTCATGGGGTTTGGTCAATAATTAACCGAGATATTGAGAAACAAAATTTTTGGCCCCATTTACCACAATGTTAACTAAAATTTCAAAGTGATCCAGAATCCAGGATTTCTTCCGGATCACCCCCAAAATGAAATCAGTTCTTCCTTTTCACATTTCCAACAAATCCTGAAAATTTCATCAAAATCGGTCCATAACTTTTTGAGTTATGTTGCTAACAGACAAACAAACAAACAGACAAACGCCGGCAAAAACATAACCTCCTTGGCGGAGGTAAAAACATGCTCTAATATGACAAACCTGACATAAATGCAAATATGTTACTCTGATCTTTATCTAGAGCCAGGGAAGTGTTGTATGTGTGTGTCAAGTAAAGTTTTACTTCCTCAGACGTGTTAAAAAAAACTATGCTAAAGACCAGGTACAGTTGTAATAATCAATATTTAAATTCTCAAAAATTCCATCACACAGCCTAGCGCTGACACAGCAAACACAACCTGCTACTACTTCTATAACTAAAGATGCTAAAGATTAACTCAAGATAAGCGATACTTCCAAATAAAATACATGGTTAGGATAAATTAATATAAACCATGGTAGATAATCTTCATTACATGTTTTCTATTATATTATTAATATAATTTATTAATAATAATAAAGTAAAAACACGGTTGTATTGACACCTAAGTAATAATACCACTGAAACTATCAAGCAAGGACAACAGCGTATTTATTATAGCAGCTAAATAGCTTTAGCAACACCGGCTAACAGCTGGTGATGCACAAGATCGAACAAAAAGGGTAAATAAGACAAGAAATTACGGTTATAAAAATCTAACACTCACCCCGCTGATGTCCACGGTCCATACGGAGACCTCGGCGGATGTGGAGAGCCGAAATACTGCCACAAAAACTAGCAAACATAACCGAGACGTCAAAACATTTGGCATCTTTATGCACCTGTGCATCAAGTCAGATTCACAGAGTTCGGCTTTCGCTTTAAGATCCTGAACCCGATCCGTGCAAGATCCACATCCACTTCCGGTTTGTAAGGTAGGTTTTTTGTTTTTTGTTTTTTTTTCAATTCCCAGGGTCCTTCCTCCAAAGACCACTTTGTACCACTACTACGGAGTCGGCTCTCTGAAGCAGATGTCCTGCTCAGCACCTAGATCAGGCTACGGAGGAAATGACTGGGCTGTGTCACGAGACTGAATCAAACGCGATAAAACTCCGAAATTTAATAAACATCAATGCTTTTATAAATGTAATGTGTTCAGAGATGTTTTTATGAGGCAATATGCATTAAAACATGTAAATAATAAAGGCTGAAGAGTGAATCATCCGTTATTGAGTTATTTAGGGTGATATTTAGCCTAAATAAATACACAGACTGAAACATTTTCGGATGATAGGCTAATTGCATTCCCAATTCCCTTCTTTAAGAGATTCTCCTACATTTGTCCTGATTTGAATTCACTGATGTCATAATATTGCTATTATTTATTTATTTATTTATTGCAGAATTTCATTTTCTTAAAATCAACTTTATTACTTAAATAAAGTTGAAAAAAATAAAGTTGCTGTGCACTGAGGGCAATTTCAAGCGCTTCGAGGTCGGCTTCGAGGAGGGCTTTGGGAGTACCACTTGGCGGAGCTCTGATGACGTGTATCTGCCCGAAGCACAGACTGTTGACTGTAGACCCTAGAGAACGTCAAATCATATAATAAAAAAAATAAATAATAATATATATTTTTTTAAATGCAGAATTGCAGATACCACTATCTTTTACGAACATTAGTTTTAATTTTGAAGTTTTCATCAACTATATGCGTTAAAAAATATACACACATTACTTCATAAACGATTTTACCTTTTCAGTGAGAAACGATTATTTTGGGTAAGTTTTAAGTAAATTTACACATCAAAACAAAGCACTTAATATCGAAATATACTTTAATAATTTAACATCAAAGCCATGGTCCTTTTGTGCTTTTATTTTGTAAGCGTGTGCCGAAACGGAAGTCCGGTGGGATCGCACCTGACCAGCTTCTGCAGTGCTTCTCTGCTCCAATGCAAACTATTCTGTGTCACAAATACCATGTGCATTTGAAACTTGACATGCAAATAACTTTCGTTTCTGCAGGCGGACAAACGAGTGCACCGAGCGGTCATTGCGTGCTCTTTGCTGATAATGGCGGAAGCGAATGCCAGGTATAAACAAGGTTTTATTTTGCAAATCTTACCAAGCAAAACTTTGTGACATTGACTATTTATGTCACTGTACACGGAATATATATATATATATAGGTCTGCAAAGCCTACATTCGTACATTACATTTTTTTTTTTTTTTTTTTTACGAAAGGTCTAAACTAAAAAAACTGTAGCAACCCTTGCTATTACTACTTTATTACTATGAGATAAGGTAACTAGGCCAGTGCTAGGCCTATGACCATACATGACCATGACCGCATACAAAGTTAAACTCTTATGACCTAGTGCACTTCTGGTTATGTTTTCACTTGTGTTTTCACTTTCACTTTTTCAGTGTTGTTCCCAGTGATGAAGGAAAGGAAAAGTTTAAGAAAAGTGAACATGTTGCTTTCTATAGGTAAACAGTCATATCTGATTTAGTAACTTTTTAATGAAAGTTGTTTTTAAAAAGTGTTTGTCTAAATAAGACAGCAGATACAGGGCCCAAACAGACTGTACAGAATCCTTTTGGACTCTATGGTGCTTAATGAAAATGGAGCTCAGTTTGAACTGCTGGAGACTGACACACAGGTCCGTAAGAGATATAATTAAAGATGACAGAAATATTCAAGTTGCTCCACTAATACATTTCAAAATAAAAGTACTACCATTACTGCTGCTATCACAACAATTACTACTAATACTATTATTACTGAATACATTGAAACATTGAGTGAGTAATGTATTTACTTTGAATTAACATAAACTTATTTCTTAGACTAAGTTGCAGTTAATTCTATCGCCCTGTGAAAACAACACCATAAGGATACTGATAGATGAACCTCAGCCGATTAAAGCTCGCTACAAAGTCAAAGATGTGATCACAGCTGAGCCAAAGTCTGAAAGGTAGGGGGTGTCCAGATATCAAAATAATTCAAAAATGTTTGTACTTGAACTTGATTCATTCAGATGTCTTAAATTATGAATTTCTCTTTATCTCAAGGGTAAGGGTGGAAAAACAGACTAAAGACTCAGTCACACTCTCCTGGTTGACTGGACTATATCAGGTCTGTGTTTGGTGTTTCCCATTTCACATAGAGATCCTGTGTGAAGAAGAAGTGATTGCAACATTTAACCCAAAAAATAAACTCTGGTTTGAGTCACTGCAGGATCCTAAAAGGTGATGTGCTCAAAACTGATTAAAACAAATTATAACAGAATAACATCTGATATTTATTATTTTAGGGCAACAACTAGCGCTACGAAGGTGAGAGGACCATGATTGTAAGATACAAGTTTATGTAAAAATGGATTAAATTTTGTATATATGTCAACAGGAAGACCACAATGCATTATGGAAAGAGACCTTTAGACAGTTTGTGGATTACAAGACTAATGGTATGATATCTATTAGATTGTAACACTTTGTTATTATGAAATTCAGATTTAGACTTAGGCTTAACTTTATTGATCCACAAGGTAAATTACTTGGACACAGTAGCTCACACATCACATTATATTACAATAACAAAGTAAAAAATATATAAAAATGGTCATAAAAAGTAGTAATAAAAAATGGCAAGAAATTTGGCAAAATGTTGTAGGCAGTACTCATGCCAAAACTATGTACTGGAATTTGATCAACTGATTAATGTGGTCATCTAGTCATATGGAAAATATAGTATAGAAAGGAGTACAGGAAGTTATAAAATATATCTTCACAGGTCCCAGCAGTGTTGGAGCAGATCTGCGATTTCATGGTTCCAGTCATGTTTTTGGACTCCCTGAACATGCTGACCAACTGCAGCTACGAGACACCAGGTCAATAAAGCAATATATACATTTAAATTAAATTATATAAATAACTTTAAATAACAAAAATAAATACAATATCTATTTTACCTTTAGTTTGTGCCTCATTAAATTTCAGAGACAATGAACCTTACCGGCTGTATAATCTGGACGTCTTCGCGTATGACTTGAACTCTCCTCTTGGCCTTTATGGCTCTGTACCCTTTGTGCTGGCCCACTCCTCAAACAGGACAATAGGGGCTTTTTGGCTGAATGCTTCAGAAACATTTGTAAATGTTAACTACAGTGTGACTGATAAGGTAAGTGCAACACAGAGGAACACAGAGTTAAAATGAGACACATCTGCAAATGTGTTATTTTTTTTACCTTTTACATTTTACTTACTGACTTACTTACTCACTGTTACTTTCATTCTGCTCAGTTTTTGTTTTTTAAACTGTGGAACATGTGTCTTATTAAAAAGGTACACAGAGTTTTTGCTGCAGCAATTAAAACTAAAATGTATTTCTTCTTTCCAGGACGAATTGACCCCTCCAGTGAAGAGGAGGCGCACTCAGCCCCACACAGACCTCCACTGGCTCTCTGAGTGTGGGGTCATTGACTGCAGGATTCTACTCGGGCCTCAACCTAAACAAGTCTTTTCACAGTACGCTCAGCTAACAGGTTTGTATTCATTTTTATTATTCGACTAATCCTTTTATTTATATTATAAGGATTTACATAGGACAACAGCAGAAAGAAGACGTCCGTGAGAGTGAGTTAGCTGGAGATTTGCTATTATTTGGTATTTATATGAAAAGTAGATTTAAGTTTAATATGTCTTAAATAAACTGTTTCCAAGTACGTTTTCTGCTTAAAATGTTTTTCTACAAACTCCTGAGCAGTTGTAGTCTGGTGAGTTTAGTTTAGGTCAGATAATCAGAAGTATGTCACAGTTTTTAGAGCTTTTGCTCTCATGCTGCCTTTTTAGTTGACTAAAATAGGACATGTCTTTATTTTAACTAGATTTTATTCAGTCATCTACAGTGCTACTCTCTTTCAGGATTCCAGTCACTGCCCCCTCTGTTTGCTCTTGGGTATCACCAGTGTCGCTGGAATTATGATGATGAAGCCGATGTTAAAGCTGTAGACGCTGGATTTGACCGCCATAAAATTCCATACGATGTCATTTGGTTGGACATCGAACACACAGATGGGAAACGCTATTTCACCTGGGACCCTGTACATTTCCCCAAACCAACAGAGCTACAGCGCCACCTACAGAAGAAGAAGAGGAAGGTGTGTGGGAATGTGGTATAGCCTATTAAAGGTTGAGCTGTTGTAATGTGTTGATCTTATTTAGATCTATGTTGTGTTTTAATTGTTTTGTCATATCCCAGTAAAAATGGTAATATTTTGAGATGGTAGTTTTGAAATTACTGCTTTCATTTATTGTATTCCAAGATGTAATTATATATTAATTATATATATTCATTTTGTACTTACATTTTTAGCTTGTCGTTATAAGTGACCCTCACATCAAACTGGACCCTGATTGGTCGCTTTTCCTTGAAGCTCGTGACAGTGGACATTTTGTCAAAGACAGAGAGGGGCAGATTTTCAGGGGGTGCTGCTGGCCAGGTAATCTAAATTTTATCTCATTCTATGGTAATGGATGTAATTAAAGGTCCTATATTACACAAAATTGACTTTTGTGAGCTTTAAACCATATTATAATGCCGTTACCTCTTCAAAAACATATCTGCAGTTGTGTTTTGTTTCACACATGTTTGAGTAACCCTTTATTATTACTTTCTTTATATCTCCAAAGATCAAAATGCTCACCTTTTTTACCTTTAGGTCAGTAGATTAGACTAGAGAGGCAATTCCAGAGCTGAAATCCAAATCAACTAAAGGATTGAAGTGGAGGTGTATGGAGTTTAAAAACACAGCGGAGCACTTCCTGTATTACCATATGACATCACAAGGTGAAACACAGTGTTTTCTATTTGAGAGAAGAACTCAGCCTAAATATGCAGAGCAGGCTTTGTGCATTAAACATGTGTGAATGAAACAAAACACAACTTTGGGTATGTTTTTGATGAGGAAACAACATTATAACATAGATCAGAAAATAGCATAATATGGGCTCTTTAACTAAATTTGATGTGTTAAATTCAATTATTAGGTGAATCCTGTTACTTGGATTTCACTAACCCAGCCACACGAGCATGGTACTCCAGATGCTTTTCTCTCAGTAACTATAAGGTAAGACTTAAGCTTTAATATAAGGTCAAAATAAACACTATTGTTGATTTTTTTTTTACAGTTACAATAATATCATTTTTAACTTAGGGTTCAACATCCTTGTTGTTTGTGTGGAATGATATGAATGAACCGTCTGTGTTTGATGGACCTGAGCAGACGATGCCCAAGGACGCAGTGCACTCTGGAGGCTGGGAGCACAGAGACCTGCACAACTTGTATGGCTTCTATCAGGTAAGGCTCATTCTTTTACATTGTTCATTTGAGACATGAAGAGTATTTTTACCCAAAGGGCCCATATTACAAAATTTTCTATTGCACGTTATAATGTTGTTTCCTTATCAAAAACATACCTGGAATTGTGTTTTGTTTCATTCTCACATGTTTAACACATAAACCCTGCATATTTAGGCTGTGTTATTCTTTCAGAGAGAAAACACTCTGTTCCACCTTGTGATGTCATGCAATAATACATAAAGTGGTCCACTGTGTTTTTAAACTACATACTCATTCATTAGAATCATTAGGATAATTTCAGATCTGGAATTGCTAATATCTATTGAACTAAAAGTGAAAAGAGCTGTTAACTTGAAAACTACCACTACATGACATCACAAGGTGGAAAAGATAATTTTGAGCTTTGGAAATACAGACTGCTCAATAATGCAGGATTACCCAAAGAAGCTAACAATATTCTAACATGGCTAAAAGACAAGAGTCAGTTTTGTGTAATATAGGACCTTTAAAGTCAACTGTTGAGGTGTTATTGCTTTTCCTGAATTTTTTGTACCTGTTCCAAACCTTGGAAAACATGCATTCTTACTGTGAGAGGGCTCATTACTCCACAGATCTAACCTGTAACTTGGTCTGGTGTCATCACTTGCTTGTCTTCATGGAAATACACACCTCTAATGTCATTCTGCCTCATATGGCATTTATTTCATTATAATACTTTTAAAAATTTCTTTAAAAATATGTAGAAAAACATGCCTTCTCGTCTCTTCATTGACCTGTAACTTTGACCTGGTGCACATGCTTGTTTTACATGGAGTTAGACAACTTTAATGTCATTCTGTGGCAAAACAATAGCATTTCCATGGGGACAAGAGTAGCGTAGCATCTCCACCAAGAAAATTATGCAGTGCTTTCAATAATAAGTGTGTGTGTGTGTTGTTGTTTTTTTAGCATATGGCTACTGCTGAAGGCCTGTTAACTCGGTCTGGTGGACAACATAGGCCATTTGTGCTGACACGCTCCTTCTTTGCTGGTTCACAGAGATTTGGTTTGTAGTTGTTTTTCATTATTTTATAAGCAATTGGGAAAAAAACACAAATTAGTATTTCCTAAACTCAAACTATGATTTCAGGTGCAATATGGACAGGGGACAATGTGGCTACATGGGATTATCTGAAGATCTCAATCCCGATGGTATTGTCCCTTAGTGTGGCAGGCATTGCATTTTGTGGTGGTAAATAACTATATTTTACAATATTTTTCGCCCTTTATCCTTCACTAATTTGTCTTTTAGCCTCTGCCTCCACTAAACCTATCATGAACTTCCTTCTTATTGCCTCCATAATCATCTTTGAGAGCTCAAAATCTTCTCTTTGTGCATTTATTTCAATAAATTAATATCTGACATTTTTGGGGTTTCTTGATATTTGATGACACAATACATCCAAAATTTGCTGAAACAAATCTAAATGTCTTATTTGAAGTATAGCACAAAAGTGAGTGGAGGATGAAATTTAACTTCATGCCCTTATTTGAAATAATACACTACAAGTTTCTGTTTTCATATTTTAATCAGCTGTTTTGCAACCTTTTATTTTTTTATTAGACAAAGTACTTTATCCTCAAATTTAGCATTTCTCAAAACATTTTCAATATTCTATTTTTATATCCCCCACCGGAAATTATTTTTATGAAGAAATCTTACTTTTATTTTTTTCAGCGGATGTGGGTGGATTTGTGCAGGATCCAGACCCTGAGTTACTGGTGCGATGGTACCAGGCCGGAGCACTCACCCCATTTTTCCGAGGGCATTCTGCCAAAGAGACAAAGCGCCGTGAGCCCTGGCTGTTTGGGGAAGAAGTTACTGCTGCAATTCGCGACATTATCCAGCAGAGGTCCTCATCATATTTATTTTCTCTGCTGCTTTAACTATATTATTATATTATAACCATGTTATAATGCTGTTATCTCATCAAAAAACATACCTGGAGTTGTGTTTTGTTTCATTTACATATGTTTCAGCAACCCTTTATTATACCTAACCCTATATCATTTATTTCCAAACTTCATAATGCTCTGTTCCACCTTGTGATGACATGATGCAGTAGTATTTCAGGGCTGAAAAAATCCAAATGATTCTGGTGAAGTGTATGGAGTTCAAAAACACACTGGCACTTCCTGTATTACCACATGACAGCACAAGGTGAAACAGAGTGTTTCATGACTCCAGGTTTGTGATGAGGAAACAACATTATTAAAATAGATCAGAAAATTGTCTAATAATGGCCTTTAAATAAACCACATATGCACTTGAGTAAAAAGTATAGTTATGCTGATTTATGTAAATATATTTATGTTCTCTGTTTTTTTCTTTTTCACAGATATCAACTCCTACCGTATTGGTACACATTGTTTTACTGGGCTCACACAGTGGGACAACCTCCTCTCAGGTCAGTGTTGCTTTGCATTCATGTATTTTTATTGGAATTCTCTGTATTTGTCTCCTATAAAATGTATGTAACTTTGTATGTATTATAATACATTTGTAGTAAATCCATTATTATTTATTATTATTAATTGCATTCATTTTATCTTAAATAAAATCACAGACCTCTTTGGGTGGAGTTCCCAACAGAGGAGGACACCTTCACTGTGGAAAATGAATACATGATTGGTAATTTAGCATAATGGCTATTAATTATTAATTAATTAATTAATGTATGTTTTAACTAGCATTTTCACATCTCCACTGTGTGTCCTGCAGGTGGCGCTCTCTTGGCCTGTCCCATCACTGACCCTGGTATCCAACAAATCCAAGTCTTGCTGCCAGGTTCTGAAGAAGTAAATATATATTGTTGTCTTGTCATAATTATGTATCTCAAAAAAAGGAAAATTATTAACCATAACTTTGGTTTCAGATCTGGTATGATGTCCAATCACTGAAGGTGCACAAAGGAGGCAGGACTGTTAGACTACCTGTCACCATGGATACTGTATGTATATTCATTGTACACTAGTGACAGTAGAGAAAAGTAGGCATTAAAGGTGCACTGTGTAACTTTTCTGGAGGAGGATTTATCATCTGCTTCTCTCCATGGAGATGTTGCCTGGAATGTTCCACAGTATGGCTTTACACTTAATTATCTAATTTATCTCTACGGAAACAGCAGGTGACATCACAGGGCCAAGTTACATGTCAGATCTGTGGAAAGGCGAGCCCACTCATAGTAAAAATGCAACTTTTTAGATCTGTAAAAACGCATGTTATTGAGTAAATGCAAAATGGATGATTTTGCATCTGGATAAGTTTAGTGCTGTACCAGGACATCCCAGACAAAACCGTAACATCTCCATGAAAACAAGCAGATAGTAGACACTCCACCAGAAAAATTACACAGTGCAGCTTTAAAACTTTACTTTGCGTTGTTTCTTGTGTAGGTTCCTGTGTTTCAACGTGGAGGGACTATTATTTGTAGAGCAACAGGCAGTGGCTCATGTTCAGAAGATTTCCAGAAATTACCACTCTCCATGACTGTGGCTCTAAACTCTCAGGTGAGTTGCATAAACGTTTTTGAACTGGTACAGCAAAAATAGTGACAATAATCAAAACAGTAAAATAAAAAATAACTAATAAATTAAAGGTGCACAATGTATCTTTTCTGGTGTAGCGTTCGGCACCTGCTTGTCTCCATAGAGATGATATTGCTTCACATGGAATCTCCCAAAGTAGGGAACATTATCTATCAAGCAGTTGATTCCACCAGGCCAAGTTACAGATCAGATATGTGGAGAGGTGACTAAGCTCACTTTAAGCATTCGTGTCTTTGAAGATATTTTTGTTAATAACTGGAAATTTATTTGTGAAGTAAATACAGTGTAAATATTAGATCAGTTAATGTCTTACGGTGGACTTACTGGAAGACCACGCAACTCATACCCAATGAAAAAAAAAGAGAATGAAAATGGGCCCAAAACATAAATATTGAAATTATTCAGGAGCTCTAATTGTGTTTTGCTTATTTTTAAAACAGGAATTTGCTGAAGGAAATCTGTATCTGGATGATGGTTTTTCATTTAGGTACCATGACACAAAGGCTTTCTGTCTACGCATGTTCAAGATGGACTCTGGTCAACTCTGCTCCTGGTGAGACAAACCCCATATCATTTTTCACATAGTCTTTGTTTATTTAGCTTTAATGCATTTTTCTTTTTCAGCTCTTTTAGTGAAGAAGGATCATTTGTCTCTGACACAGTTATAAAGTCAATTACTTTTATAGGCCTGAAGAGAAAACCATCCACTGTGGTTGTGCACGTCTCAGGTAAGGTTTACCAAAAGCATATAGTGTGCAGTTTGGATACGTTTGATTATCCCTTGTTTTACTCATCAAAAGCAACATTTAAAGCTGAGTTTTAAAGGTTCTACATTATGAAAAATGATCTAATTTTTATAATATTGTTACCTCCTCAAAAACATATCTGTAGTTGTGTTTTGTTTCATTCACATGTTATATACTTATTTATTGTAAGTTTTTCTGTCTCAGGTGTTGAGGAGAGACAAGTATTTGAATTTGACGAGAGCCGCTGTATTTTGACCCTGGACAACCTGAACCTCAAAGTGGTGAAAGACTGGGACATACAGATAGGTCTACACTGATATATCACTTAGAATAATATCAACTTGAAAAACTTAACATTTTACAATTTTTTTTATTAATGAGTTTATCTGCACTGATTTACTTACATCAAAGTACATTGTTAATAATGAACTATTTTAGCAGAGTTTAGTGTTTAGTATTGTCTCTGAGTGACCTGACCTTTTCCTAAATGGTTAACCCCTTAAGAGTGGCACAAAGGGAACCATCTAGACTCAACATTAGGTTTTGTCAATGATACTAGAAGGAACTGTGATCGTGTTGTTGAACAGCTAATCCTACCTGTCTGAAATAGGTGTAAAGCAGGTATTTTGTATGTTTGTAGTATTATTATCAAATACTACTCTGGACTTTTTATCATCAACTGACATATGTCCTAAAATGGTGTTTTTTTAAATGATTGAAATACAGGTTTAATTAAGATAGGATAGACTCAGCTCAATGCTATTTAATGAATTATGTGTGTTATTGTTTATATTTTTAAAGGGCTTGGATGTCAGATTTATTGTCAGTTAATTTTATGGTGCTAAAATTACTTTCTTTATTATTGTATGCATGATTTTGTCAGATCAACATTTGACCTATGTTGCATTTTGTTTTTCACGCAATTATGTGTAATTGTTTAATTAAATGTGTTTTTAATTCTAGATTACACATATTTTACCCAAGGGTCTTCATAGTTTCACAATTACTACATGGTACTGATATAGGATATAGGGACGTGAACCGTATAACCTGAAATACAAGCTGTACAAATAAATGGAAAAAGAAAATAATATTGTAATATAGTTGTACCAGTTGTGGTTGTGCTGAGGCTGCTGTTGTCCAGACACAATAGGTTTAAATGGCATGAATGACTTCTGCTGAGGTAGGCCATACACTGACCACTCTTTACATGCTCATTGGTCTTTGTGTTGCCCAACAATGATGGCACTAAACTCTCCTATTGCCCAATGAGAAGTCAACGTGTTCAGGGCTAGCTCCTGCATGCATGTGGCAATGCAGAGGTGAACTGACGTGAATTTTAGAGCAATTTTGTGACAAAGAGGGAGGGGTGAGCTCACATAAAGGAAACAGCCAATCAGAAAATAGCTCTTTGGATTTATGCCAGGTTTTTAGGCTTGTATGACTTTAGTACAAGCTGCAAAAGTCAAAATATTGAACGGCGACGAGATGCCCTATACGCCGTCCGGGTTCTTTTGCGACCGCCTGATCCGAGAGAGGGAGAGGCGGGATGGGGAAGGGTCTCTGAACAAGCCCCTGAGGTTTAACGGACAGGACTACAACACACTGAGACAAGAGTGCCTCCAGAGAAAGGCCCTGTTTGAGGATGATTCTTTCCAGGCCACTGTTGAGTCTTTGGGCTTCAAGGAGCTTGGACACAAATCCACCAAAGTCAAGAACATCGTCTGGAAACGGCCCAAGGTACAACGATCATTAAGGGAGTGGAGTTTATAGACATTAAAGGTGCACTATGTAACTTTTCTGGAGGAAGATATGCAACCTGCTTGTCTCCATGGATATTAATATTGCCTAAAAGATATTGTTTTGCCTAAAAAATGTTTTTATCTCACATTATTTAATTATATTTGTTT